GTTATGTATAAATATATGTATTGTTTTATTTGGTTGGACGTGGACAAAAGTATGGACATCTCAAAACTCCTTCTCCTCTGGCTGCTGAGAGCACCCAATCACGTTGGCACCCATGAAGTGCTAGAATCAGCCTGGGGGCTCAGTTCTGGGTTGTAGCATGGGAACAGCCTGACCTGGAGACAGGTCCTTCGCAGCGCAGGCGAACGATGGGAGCCACCAGCTAAGAGCAAGGCTCACACGTGCCGGAGGAGGGAGCACCACAGAGTCCACGGGAGGTCCTGTGAGGGCACGAGGCCCCTCTTGCCGTGGCACAGCTGAGCAGCGTGTGCTGGGTGAGTCACTTAACAGAATATGGCTTTGAAGGCTCGTGGAGCAGCCTCTTGACTTCAGCAGGGCGTTGCTTTGACAGCTGGGCATTGCTGCTCTGCTCTTCTCCGTCTGTTTGCCCCAACACTAGCAGGCTCAGCTTTGCTGTGGCTTTTTCCTCTCCATCCTCCCACTCCTGCCAGCCCTCAGAGCACCCACCCGCTCCCTCCCCTGCTAGCCTTTTCACACTGGAAGGGTTTTTAAAGGTCCCGCTAAGCAGCTGCTGCTGTGTGGCTTTTTGGTGTTTTTTTTTGGTGTTTTTTATGATGAGCTGGAAATTAATTTCTTTCTCACTGCTGTTGGACTATCTATTCTCTGCGTCACTGTGCTGAATGAGCTCATAACTCTCTTGACTGCCTCGTGGCTGAGTTATGGGATCTTCTGTAGCGTAGCCCAAAGGGTTTAATTTAACTGTGGATGTTTTGAAGAAAGCAGTGGAGGTCTGGCAACTGTCTAGTGCCTTTGCTGTCTGTAGACTTGGAAAGTTTTTCTTAGTGTTTGACTAAAAGCTTCCTTGTCTTAAATTGATCCTAGGATTTCTTGTTCTTTCCATAGGTGGGGAAAGGTGTTGTTTTTTTTTTTGTTTTTTTGTTTTTTGTTTTTTTTTATTTTTTTTTATTTTTCCCCTTTCCTTTTTGCTTGTCTGAAGACTGCAACTGTGTCTCGATCCTCTCTAGACTGAGCATCACAAATGCTTTCCACCTCTCCTTGCCAACTAACTCCTACAGATTTCCAGTCACTGGAGTCTGTCTCCTTTGGACCGTCTCCAATTGTTCATATCGTCTTGGAGATCATCATCCCAAACTGGACAACGTGTTCCAGCTGAGATCTTAACGGTGCAGAAGGCAGGTGAGGATAATTTGGACCGCTTATTGCATGACAACTTTTTTGCGCGTTGCCCTTGGCGTGATCTTGAACCCATCTTGGGGCAAGTGGGGTGAAGTGTTTCAGTTACTCTCTAGGCTACCTGTTGTTGTCTCCTTGTCGCTACACACAGACACTAATAAGACCATCTGTTGTAGGAACCTGCATCTCGAATCAGGGATGCTTGGGTGAGCTAATATGAAAGGACAAAAGATGAGGTCTGCTTGCAGGAACTGAAGCTTGTTAACCCCCCTGCAGGTGCTCCTCCATATAGGCTCCTTCATGAGACTACAGGGTGGTTTAATATGCCTATTAATATGCAACCTGTGTCGAGTCCCACCTTAGGTGACTTGCCATAGCTTTCCCGAGTGTCTGCTTGCAGCCGGATCGATGCCATGTGGGTTGCTTGTCTGGCAAGTTTAGAGGCTGGAGGAGCCACCAGTGACTTGGATTTAAACCCCCCGCAGGGTTTGGGGTCAGTGCCTGGGCATGACACCAGGAGCTTTGCTGCCTGTTTGGTGTTCCTCCCGTGTGGGAGGAAATTGGTGGGGCTGTGTCCACTGGAGCACTCTTCTGCTTACAGAGCTGTGGAGGAGCTGTGGGGAAAGAAACAAAGTCCTTGCTTCTTCCTCATCCTCAGCCTTTTCATATTTTCCCCTTACAACCGTCAACTGACTCTTTTTTTTATTTTTTAAATGTCCAGCCTGGTTTTGGTCCCCTTCATGAGTAATAACATCTTAATGACACTGTCCCATGGCTTTGTCCCTAGGCAGGACAGCATCTAATCCTGTAGTAGTTCGTCAGTTGAACGGGTCACTGGTTTTACTGGACTTGCATGAAGGACATGATATGGATCCAAGTGCAGTTCAGGAGCTGGGATATGTCTTGGGCTCTCGCAAAAGGGTGATTATATTTTCTCCAGCTTGACTTCGGGGTGTGGAGAGCACAACTGAGACATCTAGTTGAGAAGCAGGATGGCAGTAACTGTTATGAGCAGGAGAGGATTTGATCCCCGCCTGCCTCTTTGTAAACTAACCCAGCCAGAGTTAGAGGGTAGAGGGCAGGTCCAGCCAACAACTGGAAAAGGTGAGTAGGAGACCTCAACCTCCTGTGGGAAGGGAGGGACTGAGATCCTTAACTTGTTCTCCTCCTCCTGTTCGGGACTGGGCCTCAACTAGAGCGTGGTTCTGACAAACCCTGAAGACCTTACAACATTCTAGCAGTAAGGATGGAGTTGCAGATTTATTGTGATGCACTGCTGTAACTTCCCAGGGGATGCTTGTGTAAGCATGTCCTGCCTTTGATTTAACCTCTGTCTCTGTGGAAATGACCAAAGAGAACTTGCGAAACTCCTAGTGTTTCTCAGGAGTTTACCCCTGAATGTGAAATTAAATCAGTGTAACTGCCTTTACCAGCATGTTTTAGGCAGTCATCTATTTCTGGCTTCACTTGGATGCTGTTTGCAGTCCAAATACTGACAAATTCTGTGGGACAGCCCCCGTCACCTCAAACTTGTCTCCTGGACTCAGGCAATTAGATGAGGCTCTATTTCATCTAAGTGCTTTTTTTTTTTAATCTTTCTGATCAGTGGAGGGAAGCTGGCAGATATCACCTTTAAAGGTAAGGAAAATGGAGCCAACATTTTCTATTCCAGAAATCTCATTATTTTCCAACTAATATGCTGATTTTGGATGCTGGGGTTTGGCAGTGACACAAGGGTCATTGCTGAACAAAGCAGAAGCAGGTCCATCCTGGAGAAGCCTTCATGGATAAAATACACATTTTTCTATGGCTGAAAAATGTGAATTCTCTGGGTCATGTCAAGGAGTGATGCACTGTGGGTAATTTCCCTTTTCCCTGACTTGATGGTAGCTTTCGCAAGAGGAAAAAGTGTGTTTTAAGAAGTTATTTGATACTGATCTGTCCGGAGTGCTTTTCCCAGGATGGATTTGGGGAGGGATTATCTCAGATTTTCATTTAGTTCTGAAATCCTGGGTATTGGTTTTATAAACTAAAACCCCTTCGCAGCAGGTTGCTTGTTCTGTCTTGTTGTTTTAGCTTGATGCATAGGAAGGAATTTAAATTTTTTGAACGGATGGGGCCTGTGCCTCGCCAGGGTAAATCGGCATCGTTCAAATATTTAAAGGCAGATGCATCAATACTGGCAGCTGAGGATCTGGTTTACTTTGATTAAAATCTGATCAAGATTACTCAGCCTTACCAAGGGACTTGGATTACCAGTCTATAAAAAGAAGAGGAGGAGAGGACCGGACATTAAATACAAAGATAATCCAATGAAGGACGTGAAGCTAAACTCATTGCAAATTTAACAATAATGAAAACATCTTCCCTAAGCAGGTGAAGGGCAGCAGGACTTGCAGGTGAACACTGGGCTTGGAGCTAGGTCTGAGGTAGAAATATTGCTCTTGGGTTTCTCATGGCCTCGTCTTTTAAAGGCAGATTTTTTTCAATGAAGGGCTTTGCTCATGAGAAAATCCCCCATGGAGTGGTGCAGGAGGAGATGTGGGTGACAAATCCTTTGGAAAATCCTTGCCTCTGTTTCCTTAGGAGACCTGGGCTAGTGCCAAATCTCACTAGCAAAGAGGTGATTGAAGCTGAGGAACAGAAAATCAACTCTCTCACAGATTGCAAAATGTGAAATGTGTGTTTGTCTTTAGGGTTTCTTACGGTGGTTGAACTTCACCTCTCCCCTTCTATTGCAGTATTTTGTTTCCCCTAGCTTTTCATTCCTTTTTAAATGTAAAACTTATTTAAGGAATATTACTATGCCATGTGATTAGGCTTGATGGGCAGTGACTGATAAGGGACGCTGCACCAAGCCCTTTGCTTGCTGGGCCGTCAGCAGCAGTGGCCTTTTTCATGAGCCTGTCAAACTGCTCAGCACGTGTCTAGCTTTCCCAAGACTTCTCATGCATATGGCCCCTAAACTCAGTAAAATCTGGTCTTCCCTGTGCTCCTGTGAAATAGCGGTGTAGCTACAAGTAGGGCAGGCATCCTTGGGTCCTGAGCTAGCTGGCTTTTGGAGCCCCCCAAACTCTATTGGGGGGCAGAAGATTTATCTGTCTTCTTTATGGAGCACACCAGCTCGGTGAGCTTGCTTGGGTGGGTGACACATCCCTTGCTGATCTCAGCTGAAGACATGTGGAAGGGGATCTTCTATGGGGGTTTCAGGACTTGTGACTAGAGTGTCCTTTTGTATCCAAGACAGGCAACGGTGAACAAGATGCGTGGTGAGCTAGTGGGTCTGGGAGTCTGTCTGGCGTGACTGGAAGATGCTTTGGCTACGTCAGAGGACTCTGGGAGCCTGGAGAGTGGGGCTGAATGGCCTTAAAAATAGTGGTCACTTAAACTGACACATCTAAGATTGCCAGAGGAACGGCGAGGGGGTCATTGTGGGACCTCCTGGGCAATTACACACATGGATGGTCAACAATATCGCCTGAATGCCCCAGTAGCAATGCCAGTCTGTCTAGTTTTCTTTAATCGGAATTGGGGTCAGATGAGGATAAGGTTGTGTTTTAACAAGTATTTCTTAGCAATGCTTTCCCCCCTGCTCCCCCCAATATTGTTAATTTTCATTGCAGTAACACGTGCATCGTTCAGCTTCTGTTGCTCCATGTGTCGTGCTCTGTTACTCCATCTCGCTCGGAGCCACAGAGCAGAGGAAATGCTGCCAAGGCTTTTTCTGGGAATTTGCTCTGGTCCTGCTACTTCCCTGGGAGTGCTTAACTGATGCGTTTTGTTTGCAGGGGGGAATAAAATGCTCAAATGTCAGCTTCTGAATGGACTATTAGAGGCCAAGGCAAAGACCAACTGCTCCTTCGTCTCTGTGCGTGGGTGCCCGCATGCACATAACCACGGTGAGTTTTGGGCAATGACCTTTTGAGAGAGAAAAGTTGCTAAGCAGTAAATGTGACCTTTGTGCCCTATTTTAAAAGATGTGAGACTTTGCTTAAGGCAGCTGTAGGATAAAGGTGCTTCCCCTCTACCCAGTCCCTTCCCAGGTACAAAACCAGGGGCTACAAGTGGCTGTGTTACCCTATGGAAGGGCACCCGTTTCTCTGTCTGGGATGCAATTATATTTTCACTTGGGCTGGGTGTGAAATGGTGTTTAAAAACATTGTTAATTGAAATGCATTGCTGAACACATTTTTAAAGCTTTCTCATTGGAGACATGATTATACTTACCCAGACTAAACGGCTGCAGGGAAGGTGGAGATGCAGTGCTCTCTGCGGCTGGCTGGGCCACTTATTTGTTAGCGAGGGGTTGAATTTCTGATCACTCAGAAGGGAGCTCAGCTGCCCCTCGGCTATTTGCAGATCTGAAGATCAGTGGTACTGTGGTTATGAACCAGGGTTCTGAGCATTGCACTGAGCGGAGTTGGGACCAAAAGCTACCTCAGTCTCGAAGTATGTATGAAAACAAGCGGCTGAGGGTTCCCAAGTGTCAGGTTTGCACAGGGCATTCGCAGGCAAGTCCCAGGAAAATAATAAGGTGGATGCTTGGGAAGGGATTCTTGCTGCTTGCCTCAGTTTCTTTCAGGCCATGGGAGGGAGCAGGGCAATTAAAAATTTCAAGCCTCTGTTTGAACCATCTGAAGCAAATTAGGAATGAGAGATGAATGTTGTGCAAAAACAGGGAGTTGTGCAGGAGCTGGTGATACTCTGTATCTTATACTTTCAGATTTATAATTCCTTCTTGATCTGGAGTCTTCTATCAAATATCTTCATATACAAAGCCTGAGGAATACTTGATGGGAAAATCCCTTTTCTCATGGGACGTGCCTGCGAGCCTTCTCTACCGAGTAAGAGCAACTGCAAGGCTCTTGGCCACCAGAGCGGGCCAGAATTACACAGGCACGGGACTGGTGAGCCGTGGTCACTAGTTTCTGTAGCTCCATGACCCGCATCTATGCCTGCAGCACCCTGGATTGCAGAGCCTGTGTGCTCGCTCAGGGTGTTTAACCTCGGCCCTGGGTGCTGTAGGTATCTTCACGCTGTGCTCTGAGCTCCTGGGCTATGCTTGACCCTCTGTCCTACCTGGGTTTCCTCTTTCTGAGGTCTCTGCGTTGGACAGACCAGCTGCCCGCACCCAGTTGTAACACCCTTCCTTCTTGCCTTTCATTTGTGTCCCTGAGAAAAATGTGGTTTTGGCTCCTTTTTGCCCACCCCTAATAACTTTCCAGCCTGGTGGCTAATTGCAGCTGTTCATGCCAGAGATCTTAAAGATAACAAGTTCCTACCAGCTTGCTATAAATAGGTGGCCAAGGAGAAGACTTTATCTTCTCCCCTCTCTGCCAAGGGAATTCAGTTGTTATCAGTCCAAGAGCATCTGTGTGTGAGAAAATGAGGAAGAGAGAGATGTTATGAACACCCAGGGGGAAAACTGCGCTTGGAGCCGGTATCCTACTGCATCCTGGAGAATCCCCCCGTGATATGTAGCTTCGTGGAAAATGGAAGTATTGCTGGCCCTGCTACGGGCTGGGCACTGTGTGGGGCTTGCTGTTGCTTGCTTTCACCGCAGCCTTTCGTCAGAGGCTGGAAGCAGCGATGTGTGTGGAGTTGCTGGCCTGACTCGGAGCAGAGAACTCAGGAACAGGCGCCTGGCACTGGAGCAGAGGGTTGCAGCTTGCTTCCTGCGGGGGCGAGGCTGTTTTAGCCTCTGGCTAGCTGACAGGGCAGCTTTCCCCTCCAGCAGCACTTATTTTCCCTGGGCAATAGCCACTGTTTCTAGGATGGTCCTCTGACTCATCACCCAGCTCCTTTCCTGCCTTCTTTGCCTCCTGCAGAAAGCTGTTTAATCAAGGGCCTATCAAAATCCATCTGTCTACGCTGGTGTCAAAAACTTCGCTTCAGGGACATTTTAAATAATTTTCTTTCCACACTCTGTAATGGATTTCATTGCCGAGGGGCTGGAGAGCAGGGCAGCAAAGGTATTTTAATTACATCTGCTTGTGGCATCTGGCAGGCTTGCCCTGTCAGTTGCTCTGGCACAGCACCATTTAGAGCCTGCTTTTGCCAGCACAGGAATGTTAGCTGGGGCGTTACTGATCGCAGAAGAAAATACTGATGTTTCACTCCTGACATCTTGGGGGCTGCGTCTTCTTTCTCTACCTTGCTTCTGTGGCACCAGCTTCTTCCACAGTAGAGGATTCCAGCCCTTCCATATCATGTCACTTAAAACCAATAAAAACCACAGTCACCTGTCCTACTGTGTGGGCATCATATCTGTGTGGGCAGAGCAGAGGTAGGTTGCTTGCTCTTAAGAAAACCTGCCTTACTGCAGGGGAAACGTCCCTTTGAACCCTTTTTCCAGCTCGCATCTTGGTTTCACAGCCTGTCAACACAGAAAGGGCTTCCCTTTTTCTCGGTCAAGCAGGGGAAGATTGAAACGCTGTCTCCAGCAGGGCTATTGGAGGGAAGGAGGAGGGAAGGAGGTGAGGAAAGCTGCTGGTCTCGCTGTGCTGAAACATCCTGCTCAGACCCATGGGGCTGGATCAGCGAGTGGAGTAAGTCCTGGGACAGGCAGGAGTGCTGCAGGTGTGATAAAGCACATTTTCAGAAGAGCTTGCTCACTAAACAAGAGGAACTCCAGCCGGGTGTGTGTTGAAATACCAGTAGCTGTTGGGTCTTTGCATGGCTTGCTTTGGGTATCTTTTCACGAGCACTCAGGGCTAGTGGTATCTGCAGTGCTGCTCGGATGTTTTCTGGAGCATTCAGCAGGTTGCAGCTCCCAGTGCCCATACTTTGATTTGCCTTTTCAAAGGGTTTAGCGTGCAAAAGGCAGAAACTGTTTGAATCTGACCTGGGGTTTGGAGGAAGGAGAGTCTGAGGAGGAGGAGGGCAGAGTTAAGGTCATTTTTTTTGTATGACTGCTAATACGTATTTCCATTCTTGCCAAAGCTTTTGGTTCTGATTTAATAGGAAACTTAATCCTCAATATCCACACTTTTTCAATGTTGGAATGCGTTTGTGTTCCTAACAACACTCATCTGTCATTTCCTCCTCTTAATAGATATAACCTCAGCTGCAGATTAGAGAAGTGTTTTGTTTGTGATTCCTAGGTGCTCTACACTTCATGCATTGTCTTCCTACAGATGCAGGGCAAGCTCTGCTCCTCCCTTCTGGCCTGGGTTGCAATGATGGATTAAGTAGGTAAGTAATAGAGTGGTAATGAGATAACCACTGACATCAAGCATTAACGTGGGAATAAATGAAGTTACCAGCCAGAACTAATGGCCTGAACTATCACTGGGTTGTAATTAATGAATGTGGTGGCTGAGATTTACAAGGATATTTTAGGATGCTGCTTGCATGCAGCTTTGGGTTTTATGGCTTGGTTGGAGAGAAATCAATTAATGCCAGGAACTTAATGAATGGGCAGAAGCCGTTCTCTGTCAGTTTGTAATTCCCCTTTTGTGGAAGAGGCTAGACTGGCACATGTGGAATATCTGCCTTTACTTCAGGGTCTGGAAGAAGGTAGGATTGCGGTGGCCTCTGACTCTGGGTCGTTCTCTTTAGTGCCTAGTAGAGATGTTGCAAGGTATCTTGGAGGTCCTGTTTCTTCTGTTTTAGTCGGGCAGAGTAGCAGGAGTCTTGGTGGAATCAGTACATTTGAAGTGAACCCACGCAGCAGGCTGACAAGTTTGCTTGTTTGTAGAAGAGAGGTTGCTGGTGACGGGGAATCTCCAACCGGCATGTCTGAACTGAGCAATGACAAGCTGCCCTGTTTTGCCCCCTGAAGGCAGGACATCTAGCTCCTTCTTCAGGTCTTCTCCTCCCTGCAGCTGTGGCTCTGGCTCCTGCGTGTCACCCCCTCCCCTCGCCCTGGCTGTCCCGTGTGATCCGGTGACTACCTGCACCTACTGCGTGAGCCTCCCGGAGCAGGACTTGAGGTGTCCAAGCTGCATACATGCGGCGTGCCCATGCACAAGGGGCCTTGTCTGGAGAGCTCTCTCTCCCTGCTGTCATAGTTTACTAGGCCTGTGACCCTGCTAAACACTTCTCAGGTGTGTGAGTAACACTTTTGAGGTGGTTGCTAGGCTCTTGCAGAAAACACAGCAGAGCAGTCAAAATTCTTCATGTTAATTGGTAGGAATACTCCAGCCATCTCACTGCTGCCTCCCTTGTCTTTCCATGGCAACACTCTCTCTACAGCAGCCCAGGTGCTTGTGGTTGGATATAGTGGGATTTTTTGAGCCCTCTGTCTTCCAAATTGCCCCTTGGAGCATGGAGGGAACATCTGTACTTTTAAAGTATGGGTATCTTGTGCTACATCAAATAGCTTCCCTTGGTGTAACCATATTCCTTTTCTACACTGCCAGAGACAGAATACTTTGGAAATATGCCTGAATTGAACCCTTGCATTTCTTTGGTGGAAAGAGCTGCTGCCCTGTTTTTTTTAACAGGGAGAGCAAAGCACTGAAAGAGTCCTGAGAGTTTCTCTTCCCTCCCACAGCCTGAGCCATCGCACCTTTCTGTGAGCTGGAGAAAGGAGAGGGACCAGAGCTCATAGCACCCGGTGAGCAAAGGGAAGGACAATCTTTTTCTCTCCTGCAGAGCCCAGCCTGGATGGAGCTGTGATGTCTCCTTCAGGAAGCCAGGGTGGCTGGAAGGAGCCAGAGATGCAAAGGAGGAGAGTGGACTGGAGAGAGAAAGCTCAGGCCTGGCATCATCCTCGCCTCTGCTGCCTGCTGTGAATAAAGGCACGTGGGACACAGGCAGCACAAATAGGGGCATTGCAGAGCAGAGGGCTGCTGCAGAGGACAAGGCATCCTCTCTTCCTCTTTCCTACCTCTCTGAAACTTTCTCCACACGTATTCTAGCACTGTTATCTCTTTTGGGACCTGTTTTACAGTCATTTTTAATGATTCCAGGGGAAAATGAGACTCAGATGGCTAGTGACAAACCCAGCCCAAAGCTGCCCAGACTTGGAGAGGTTGCCACTTTGCCCGGAATCATTACGTTTCCTTGGTGCAGGCTCAGTAGTTCCCTTCCATGCTGAACAGGAAGAAGAAATTTCCACCTGCTAGACCAAGCAGGTGCAAGCCAAGTCCCAAACTGAACAAAGAACAGACAGCGTATTCAGGGATATGTAAATCCTCTTTCCCCAGCCTTGAGAAGTTTATTGCCCTCAACAAAGTACACAGTGTGGCTGTCATTCCTGAGGAGCCCAGGCAGGCTGTTATGTGACAAGGGAAAATTACCCAGCCTGTTCTCCAGAAAGCAAGTGAGCAAGAATTTGACCGGTTCAGGACAAAGTTAATGTAGGGAAAGCCATTAAAATTAATGCTGGTAAACAAGGATAAAAACCAGCAGGGTTGTAACAAAATTTGGACCAGATTGGGTTTCCCAGCTGTCATGCTGCATGCTGTCTTAAAGGCAGCAGGCGGAGGGAGGGGGTGAGCTGAGTTCAGAAGGCTCTTGTTGGAGGGGGCTGTGAGGTTGGGGGCAGCTGGGTTCCAGTGGCACCAGCTTTGTGGTCCAGCACTTTATAATCCACTCAGACCCACTGTTTTTTTCTCCTGGGAAGCAGTGATGCTGTTTTGTCTGGTGGTCGTTACATCTTGTATCTATTCATGTAATGGTTATCTGCTCTCCTCCAGAGGCTGCCCTCAGAATTCAAGCCCTGCTCTGGGAATGTGCCCACAAGTGCTCGCTGGCTGCGGGTGTTTTGTGTGAGCGTGTTGGGGCAGTGACTTGCTCCAAGAGGCTGATCCTGAGTTCAGCTGGGAAAAGTGCAAAGGGGCACAGCGATTCACCTCTCTGTTTTGTCTGCTCCAGTGTGAATGGGAGCGTGCTCTGGCTGGGCAGAGTGAGGATTACTGGGGACATGGGTCTGCTGTACTGGGAGGAAGGCTCAGGTTTGATGTGGTGGTGGGTACAGGCTAAATGGGGCCAGAGCATCCCAGGGAAACCACCCTGGATCAGGAGCTGTGCATTACTGCACTCTTCTAGGTAAACTTCTTTTTCCAGCCCCACAGCATACTAACATAAGCCAGCCAACTTCTCCAAAACTCCTGGCATCAGATATTCAACTGACTTGATGCTCTGGAATAGGTCAAACCAAGCCAAACTTTCTAGCCCCAGAATTGAAACAATGGCCCGTGTTTTCAAGTGACCTCTGATTTGATGGTAGTGGTGAGAAAGGGAGAGGTACAAAAGCAGTTAGCCGCTTTCTTGCAGTGCCTGAGAGACCTGGATAGTATGCTTGAAAAGAAAGAAGGTAACAGGTTCAGCTCTGAGCATAGATGAACAACACAGATGCCAACAGCCATAGAAAACTCCCCAGTCCACCAGTCAGTGCAAATAGCAGCAGAAAGGTCCTTTGGTTCCTCAAGAGGCATCATACACCTTGTGTCTCCCTAGTGAGGCCGTGTTTGCTCAGATTTCAGTGATTTTGATGGCCCTGTCCTGGACGGTCAGGTTTTGCAGGACGGGTTGGGTTCTGGTGGAATCTCCGTGGAGCAGCTGGCAGGGTGAAGCGAAGCTGCTGAGGGAAAGTGCTGCCATGTCTCCAGCTGAGTGCGGGGAGGTAGAGCTGGATGTCTGAAGTCATCCTCACCAAAGAGACGAAGGAAAGTCTGGGCAGGTGAAGTCTGATGCTGGAATGGAAAGCGGTGTGGTGAGAGGCCCAACACACGAGTCTTCTTTTGGAGCCCTCATCCCTGGGGGCATCCACAGGCTGCTTCTGTGGGGAGACATCAGCTCCTTTTCTCCAGTCAAAGCGCTGGCAGGTTGCTGTCTCGGGGTACTGTAGGTGAGGTGGGCAGAGGTGAAGAGCTTTCTTTTGTTTTTCACGAGACATCACCGACGAATCAGGGTGACAGAATTATTTTTGTGGAAGTGACTGTGTGAAGTATTTTTTCATTTTGATTATTTGAAACCAAAACTGTCCATGAGTTTTAAAATTCATGTCCCTTCCGGGTTGCTTTGTTTTATTTTCTTTCTTATTCTTTCTTCCTTATTCCTCAGAGAAAACCATCCAAACCTACACAGTGTGTTATTTCTTGAGGAAGTGCAGTCGTTTTCCAGTCAAACCCAGACTGGAAATGCTTCTGATGATTCATTTGTATGAGAAATTTTAAAAAGCTTGGAAGGAACAGAAACCGGCCTGGTTCAAGGAGAGCTTTCTTGTGTTTCAAGACCCACTTGTGTGCAGGAGTTGTTTCAAAAGCTTTTTATTGGAAAAATAATTTTTTTTTTAGGCTTTGTTTGGGAGTCTTGGGCTCCAGCCATTCTTCTGCTGCAGTTTCCTGTATGGTACCAAGATCTGGAGCCATCCTGGTCCCAGCTTCCCATGCCTGCTTCATTGCAGAGCTGTTCCACCTCTCACCAAGTCCTAAATCTTGAGCCCTTTGCTCTCTAGGGGCATCACTTCTGCAGGGTGGGATGGACGTGATGCCATCTTTGCCGTGACTATACTTTGTACCCAAAGTCTTTCCCAAGAACGAGGATCATATGGGTGCAGAGCTGTGTCTTGAGTGCAGCAGGGACCTCCTGCTATTGCACAGTGAAGGCTTCAGGTCCTACCTGCATCATTATAGTCTGCTCTGCTCAAGCTCCTCACCGCCAAGGACCACCAAGCTTCAGAGCCAGGCACCAGAAAAGCAGATTCAGTGGTAGTAACCACCACAAATCTCCCCCAGAGAATACCTCTCTTTGGCCTTCAGTTTCCCCACCTCTAAAGCAAGCATGTTTCGACGGTGTGCTCTTTGGGCCACGGCTTTCGGTTCCCTCGTACAACAAGGAGCTGTGGAAAACCACCAGGTGATGGCTGAAATCAGATGAGCTGATTTGTCGCGTCCCAAGAATCATCTTGGATTTTGGGGGGCTGTTCTTATCACCTCTGTGGGATGTCAAGCTGGCTTGATTGGAGGCAAGGTGCATCATGGAAATGGGACAGCGCTGGAGAGGCTTGGGCAATGGGGATGCTTCATGGGGGACAGGAGTGGTGGCAAGTGCCTGTATGTCTGGAAATATGGCGTGAAGTGGGCTGGATAGAGGAGACCACCAACTCCTGTTGCTGGCTGCTCTGCGAGCTGCCAGCTCTGCTGTCTAGCACTGGCCAGATCCACAGTGTAACTGCTCATCTCCAGTCCCTGCCTTCTCTGTGCCCCACATGCTGCTTTTCCTATAAATAGCCCGGTGAGAAG